GCTTTGGCTTTATGCGTGGGAGTGCGAGCAGCGTCTTGTAAAGGTCACATTTGGACCTGCAAAATGTCACAATAGTATTTCCATTGACTTTAGTGGCATAGCAATATACCTTTGCTGGACTGAAAATCAATAGGTGAGATGGACGGATGTGAGTCAGACAGCCATCCTCCTGAGTCTGTAAGAGGTCTGAATCCCCCTGTTGAGCCCCGTTGTCAGCTCCAGTAAATATAGCATAAACACAGACATATGACAGTAATTACAAGATTCTGGGATGTCTTACCCGGATATTGGGTCAGACCTTAAGTTAAAAGCAGGATAATAATGGATCATTTCTAAAGACCCGTTTCCTGAAACATTATGGGGCCACCCCGTTAGATAGTAAATGGTCTAAATAAACTGGTATTAGAGTGTGTGTGTGTGTGTGTGTGTGTGTGTGTGTGTGTGTGTGTGTGTGTGTGTGTGTGTGTGTGTGTGTGTGTGTGTGTGTGTGTGTGTGTGTGTGTGTGTGTGTGTGTGTGTGTGTGTGTGTGTGTGTCGGAAGGAAATGATTTAATTTTTCAATGGCCTGTCTGCTATCAACAGGCTTGCCTCTTGAGAGAGATGTCTGCCTTGATAATTGTGGCATGAACCTCATCAGCATTTCAGATGAAATGGAGCTAGACGGGTCACTTTGAGTTTAAGAGACGCTAATTTGATTGAAATTCAAACTGGGAGCACCAGGAAGTAGATTGTGCCTTTTTCTGTAATGTGCTCCCTTCACTCATGTCACTTTTCTCCTCTAGTTACACAGCAATTGTCTTCGCTGCCTATTCTTTTTTTTATATTCTGAATTACAAGTGGCTGCTTAGGCTTCCTGAAAGCTATTGTGTTGAGGGATAGAAAATTGAGCAGTGTGGGCAAAACTATCTAGGATACGACAATTACATTTCTTGCCCTTAGTCTAAACTGGCCGTGTCACATGAGCAACAGATGCCGTTTAACATCATGAGGGACCTGAATGACTGTCTGTACAGGTTCTATTTAAAAGACAACACTATTCAATGTTTTTTTCCTTCGGACATACATATGCGTGTGTGATTAAGTAAGTAAGCCTTTTGCTTTAAAAAAATAAATAGTTTAATTATATTATAGGGACATTTGAAATGTTAACATGTTTATATTGTTATAAAATCGTGACCAAGATGTGTACTGAGCATTTTACATAAAAAAAGGAAGATATGTCTTTATTTTCAGTTTACAGCACTTAAGCAGTGTGTTTGCTTCGCAGAATAGAACACATCCCTTATTGCGTACATTTCATATAAAGTAGCATTTAATTTGAAGAAGGGTATGCATAAAAATACATCTTAAATGAAATATACTTCAAGCTTAAATGTCAATAGGTTAGAGTCGCATTTCAGCAAAGCAGAGTTGCAGCTAAGCTGATCTACTGTACGGAGCAGCAATGATTAAAATGACTTATCTGTACTTCGAGGTGGATTAGTGAGAACCAGATGTAGATTAGTCTTTTATGGTTTAGGCAGGCTTACACCTTTAGCTACGTATGTTAGTGGAATAGAGTTAGTAGAATCTGTTATACTCAAGTCAATTAATTATTCACTTAGCACATTATCTTCATGTCCAATTATTCCTCTGACATGCTTTATGATGGCAGTGGAAAAGGTTAAATTGCATATGGCTACACGGTTTCAGGAGAGCTCTCTGTTACACCTTGTTGGCATCTTATCGGAGCCCTTCTCGCTGTCAGCAGGGAGTGCTCATTTTTAAAGGAGATTTGCATCAAATCCAAGCAGAATTTTCTGTGACACTCTAATTGTACTGATGTCTGCCTCTCCCAAAAGGTCAGAGATGTGATGGGATTACATTTAGAATACTTCAGTGTGATTAACAGGCTGCTAGGGAAATGGAGGCAATCAAAGCAGAAAGTAGTTTCAAACTGCACTTTTTTTTTGTTTTATTTCAAAAAGAAAATGTTAGGACTATTTTTGTCACTAAAGAGTCTGACTACCGTCCATTTATTACCTAAATATACCATAAAGCTATTATTGATCAATACAGCTTTAGGATTATAGCTAATGTTACTGCTGGTGCTTTTAACACAAAACCAATTTGTCAAAAATAATGATAACATGGCGCTGTATATTTCCTTGATACAATTGGCGTACATTTTTTCTTTCCAAACAATTGGGTTATGTCATTGCTTTAAAGGCAACTTGCCTCTTTACTTTTTCATGAATCTCATTTTCTAACTGGCTAATTATTCTTTCTCTTGGATTGTAAGATACATGATATTGTGACTATTTCCACATTTCCTTCCGTCGAATCATGTTGAGCAGTCAAGGTATTTATAGAACTAGAATGTTTCACTCTGGAGGGAAGTGGAGACAATTCCTTTGACTTAATATTCATTATGTACATGATTAATTACTATATAGCCTCAGACTATCAAAAGATAGTCAGGGATATGATATTTTACATGTATTTAATTAGTGTGCACTTTGAGACCTGTGCCCTTGCAGGCCCAAATGCTGAACTTTTTATTGGAGGAATTTCAATTACATGCTCTCTCTCTCTCAAATGGAGGGCTAGGACTATAGCAGAAGTCATTAGGGCTTTTTCAATTGGTCTCAGGAGATGCTCAAGGTTTCACAGATGAGAAGAAATCAGAGTAACACAATCCCGTAGATCAGGGCGCTCCTGCTCCACAGCGGTAAAATTAGGGCGATATATCAGAAAGAGCCATCAACACTTATGTCAACATGGTTTCAAAAGATATATGAGCGTTTTTTCCCTAGTGCTTATATCCTGTTGTTTAATACGTTTGCCTGAGAAACGATGGCAGGCTTATGTCTCATTAGTGTCATGAATTTTATTTTTGATATCATTCTGTTTCATATGCCTAATATAAACCAGGCAGTTGATTCCTGGTCTCATTGGGATCTGTTAGAAAAAGCACTGTAAATTATATTGCTCCTGCATGACATGCTTATGCATGAGCAAGGGGACAGAACCATCAAAGTGACCATATAATATATGGAAAGTGCTGCAGAGTCATGAAATATTACCTAGAAAAACAAGCAGCATATTATGCGCCCAGCATGAGGTGCCTGTTTTAATTCCAAAACAGTAATTCATTTCCATAAAAACAAATACAATATGCTGATTTTCTCATCTGTTATCACACGTGAAGGTCGTTAATAAAGTGGAACGCCCCTTGGGACCCTCACTAAACAAAGATATAGACACAAATATGTGTCATTATGGCTCTGTAGTATAATACACGGCTATAATATTACCAAAAGCAAAAAAATCTTTTGAATTGGCACACAGGAGGATTGGGTGAAAATAGAATAGGAAGAAGAGGGAGATGAATTGTTTCTGTGTGTGTGAAAGAAAACAGAAAAACATAATTCCAATTCTTATTCCAATCCTGTTGTTGCGATTTTATGTTTTCTCTTTCTTTATTATTAGAACACAGGAGCTGTTAGTCTTACTTGCTAAATAATTTGTGGTTGAGGTTGTTTTTAATCTGGGACCTAAACAATTCCCCACCCCCCATACGCCTGTTCAATGCTATCTCAACAGTAAGCGACAGTCTACTGCTCCCCCCCCCCATGCTACCTAATATTATTTTAATAACATTTGGACACACAGCGGCCCAAAACAAAGGCAAAACCCAAAGCACAATACAATGCAGCCAGTAATACATTTTCCAATGATCTGCTGGAAGTGGGCGCACTGGTCCGTGATGAGAAGACAAATATTATCTCTGGTCCCTGCTAAATCAGCAGAACAGACTTATTGATCTGGCTCCTCACGTTGCCAATAGAATTTTAAGTCCCCTTTGTAGCAGAGAGAAGGCTTGCTGGGGGTATAGATGTCATTATCATGATTTCAGTACAGCGAAAGGGCGGTCACCTGCAATTCCCCGGGCTTCAGAGCACACCACAGGCTCAATTAGACTGTCTGCTCTCCAGATGTTAAAGGCAGTCTACGAAATTAACTTTTGACATCGCTTCGCATGGCTGCCGAAATGAAGAATAAAATGTATAAACGTGATATCTAATAAAACCTTAGGTGCAACCTTTCGGCACGAAAGTACCATAAATTACACATATTTTTACTAAACCGAGAGCTGGTTATGATTATTTAAATTAAAACGTGTATTCTTTTTTTTCAAGCTGCTATCTTTGGGTATTTCTGCTCTTTCGGATCGAGAATTACGGAGGCTGCCGTAGAAATCATTAATGAGACCTTTGATGGCATTTTGGGTGCGCATTCAAGAGCCTCATCTAGCCGCTCAGCATGTAGAACCATTCAGAGAAGGAGCAAGCTCAAATCAATAAGACAGGACATTTCAGTGAAACATAGACTTTGTTCATCCCGTTCAAATGCGCCTCATAAAACACAAATTTGGGGTGTCAAATAAAAAAAATCACATGAGGTCCCCATGAATTGTAGTTAGTTCAATGTCTTATTTTATTTATAGTTGTTCAATTGCAAGAAGGTGATGTGTAAACAACACACACCAGGTCTGCTTTGTAGTAAATCACAACTATAAAGGGTGAAGTTACAGAACACACAGAGCACAAACTGTGTGTAATTGCAAGATTCAATGAAAAAGTCTGAACAAGAAATGTAATAAAAAAGTTATTGACTTGACAGGTAATATAGCAAAGCCTTTTTGATATTTTCATTGGCCTATATACATTCAGACAAATTACCCTGGTACACACGGACTAGCACAGCGCAAAAAGGATCTCATAACACACAAAGCAGAGAAGACCTTACAGAAGGCACTGAGTGAATAGTGAGCTACCCTTTTAGCTAACAGACTGAACAGCATCGTAATAGCAGTATTGTTTGTTTGTTGGGAAATGTTATTGTTTGAAAGCAAGAGTTAAGAACACATGCTCTTCTCTCATCCTGCATTTACGCTCTTTGAAATAAGGGATTTATTATGTGTTCATGTTGCTCATTTGTGTTTTTTTGTTTCTCAGATGCAACAATCGGACACAGTGCATTGTGATCACTGGTTCAGATGTCTTCCCTGACCCCTGCCCAGGAACCTACAAATACCTGGAGGTCCAGTATGAGTGCGTGCCCTACAGTAAGTCTGACCCTTGTGTCACAAATTGAAACTCTCCCTCCTCCCTTCCCCCACACTCCCATTCTCTTCTTTGCCCTCTCTCTTTCATTAGTATCACACCATATCCTGTCTCATTTCTTCCTCTTGCCTTGTCCAGACAGTCCGCTCTAACACCTTCCAGCACCATTTTTCCTCTATCTCTTCTTCCATCTGTGTCACACCATGAACTTTTCATGAAATATGACCTGTAAAACCCTTTGGTCCTCTTTCTGTACTGCCTTTATTATTGATGTGCTCACCGTGTTTCCAGCCGACCGTGGTATCTTGTTATGAGGTAGCAGAATAGAAGAGGAAGGGTAGAAGAAGACAAGCTGACTCTCAATGATGTTTCATCACTCCAGTCTTGCACGGAGAAGTCTATCAGGCGCTAAACAGCTCACCTTGATGGCTTAATACACATCCGTACAACAGGTGTTGAAATATGTTAACAGATGTTTCATTATGTAACAGAACAGAATGGCTCTACTCGTAAGTCAACAAGGTAATATTTCACCTAAAGAGATAGTGTTAACATCGTTCTGCTCCTTGGACGCTTAAATATTCATAGCTCCCAAACAATCTTTGGATTGCCCTTTGAATTAAAATTCCCCTTTGTCCTTTAAGCTGCCATATTCATTTGCAATCTGCGAGGGGAATTCCCCCCATTTAAACTTTACAACCTGATTAATAACAAAGATTAAGATGAATTGCCAGAATCACTAATCAGTTGTACATAAAATAATGAGATTGCGGATCATTGAAGATAGTATTTTGCAGATGTCCTGTAGATTCAAATGTATTGTGTACTCCGATGTCTTTAGATGTTTTTATACTCTAAAAACACATTTCCCAAATATAGCCCACATTTAAATAATGCAAAGTTAATCTACATACCACATATTTTATATTCAACACATTTCATCTACATTGCTAATTAGCGGTACAGTATACCTGTCCAAGGCGTCCCCTCAGTGTTGAATCTGAATGCATTAGCGAGCATCATTAAATGGTGAATCCCATTACAACTTAAAGGTTAACCTCGTCAAGGCTTTAAGGACCTGTAATTAAAAATGGAATAAGCAATAATGAGTCGTTGAGTCCACCTTATTGAACAAAGACAAATCCTGTAGGTTTTACCCTAAACACCAGCTTGTTTTTTCCCTTCACCTCATAGTTAAGTGAAGTATTGATCCTATGTCTTGCTGTGTTACCTCAAACCTCAATAGGAGGATTAGCCTCAAGGTGCACTCTTTTCCGCCCACTGTTATGATTGTCTTTTACCTCCTTCTTGCACCAAGGAAACAGTCAACAATGACGCATTGTGGTGAAAAATAAACTTCTGCCCAAGGACTCTCAGTCCTGGCGATGTCTATCAAACGAAATATCCCAACAGGTCGTCACTTCACTCTCAGCCATTTCAAAAATGCATATCTGTAGCCCCATCTTTTTGCTTCTCAAGGTCCATGCCCAAGCAGAATAGGACCAAGAACACAGAATGTATCCTATCGCGACTGCCCTGGTAAGTGCTTAGTGTTCTCCCAGTCTGATCCAGTCCACACAGCCCAGCCTTTCCCACTCAGCCCTCATGTAAACTGTGATAGATTGTGATTCATAGGCAATTTCGTGTCATGTTTTTTCCCCTCTGGCCAATCCTTTGTCTCCTCTTCCCCCAAAATAAAATCAATATACATTTCAGCGTCAGAGTACTCCAGAGAAAGGAACATTTTAGTGGATTTACTGAGCTTTTCTACACCAGAGCTAACCCTTTCTTTAGATGGGAAAGCATAGACCCTTCCTACAGTTAGAATAGATCATATGCCAAATTACTAGATTTGTGATTAAAAACATTGCAGTGGTTCAGGAGCTTAGGATCCCCTGGATTTGCTGGGTTACAAGACTTTAGAAGTTGTTTTGCAAGACAACATATTAAATCCCCATTAAGCTGATCAACGACGGGACAGTGTCCTCATTTTGACTCGTAGCCGCTGCCCCTCAAAGTCTATTTGTGCCATGAAATATAACCAGCAGCTTAATAACACAATATGATAAACAGCTGTTTTCCGTCTCTGTCACTGACTGAACATAATGTGCTACTTAATTATTTTTGCTCTATTGTCTCAGCCTATGCATAATTACACAGGCAAATTTGGAATTGTTCTCTTCTGTGCAAGTGGCCTTTGCAACAACATTTCCACGTTTCATCCTCTTGGCTTCATAATTTGGTTATTTTCATGGACTGCCCTCATTAGCAACATTATATTCATGTTCCAGCCAAGGGTGTACATTTCGCCTTCACCTGGCACTGAGTCACCCTTTGAATTGGCTTTAGTAATTGCTTGAATCAGGCAACATAAAAGTAGACCATTTTTTATTAAGACTGCTCTGTGCAAGCTTTTTGGAAAAATGCTTGGAAAAAAGTTGCTCTCCCTATTCTCACTTGCTAACAGAGGGCAGCCACAGTCCTCTATGCTAAAGTTGTCCTTTGCTTTCCTTTCATCACATTGTAATGCAGGGAAACCCCTCGCTCCATGTGACAGTGCTGGAAGGATTATGAAAATTGAAGTTAAGCTGTAGCAGCATGATCTTTAGGTGTCTTCGCTTTTGTGTTCAGATGTTCTCCCTTATTAATTCAGTGTAGCCATCAAAAGGCGTTAATTTAAATGAAACACGCCGAGTCGGCAGGTGACAGCAAACATTGGTTCAAGTGAAGATGTAACATTTGATTATCTACAGTGATTATTACAAGTTAATATAATTTGATTTGTAACAGTTATAGGAAGCAGAACATCCTTAGAAATGCTGTACTATGTAGTGGAGAAAGTTTAGGGTCTTAGGGTTTAGTTTGGGATGTGTCTCATGTTTGTTTGTTTCAATGTTGCTATATTAAAAGTGACTGACTCTCTTCCCTTCCCCTGTGCAATCTGCAGGAAACCTCCTTGGCGACCTGACTCATTCTCTTCATCCACTGACTGATTTCTGATCACACTGATTGCTATTTTCAATTTCTTACATTTCTACTAACATCATCAGGTCTTCGTGTTTTCCTTTTCCTTCCAGGTTTCCTTCACATCGTCTTTTATGTCCTCTTCTTTCCTCCTATGTTTTATTTGGCGTTGGTGACTTCTGAGAACTCAACTGTTGTTAACTTGTTTACCTCCTATTGTGTTTGATCTCTTAGTAAGATGCAACAGACGCAGAATGCCGTGAATTAATTTACAGGTGTTTCAGATTCTCTAGTTTCAACTGTCTTTTGAAGCCTAGGTCAGACTCAGCAATTAAAACTGATCCGAACTTTGATATGAATCTACACTAATTAAAGCTGGAGGGTTTCAGCATTCAAAGGAAAGCTAGCTTATGGTTGCTCACATCATCCCAAGCTATAAAAGCTGAGTCAAAATATATACATTAGGTATTTCAACATTGACCCTTGCAGGCTCGCTGTGGCGGATCCTTTGTGTAGTGAAGCCCCTTGAGACTGAAATCTAAGAAAGACATTCAAAACCAATAGAAGTGTAAATCAAGGGCAAGAGAACTGATGCTGTATTTGGGAGATTAAAAACACTACGAGTACAAAGTTGCCCTGTTTTGAATGAATGCATTTTAAATTAAATGTTATGCATTATGCTTCTGCCTGTACCGATTCAGTCATTACATAAATCTCCCTTTTCAGTTTCATACTTTTAGACTATTCATATAATAATGTAAGTGGAGACAGAAAATGTAAATACCTACAGATGTAATGCACAGTGCAATGTGCCTGAATCAGTTCACATTTTAAAAAAATTTTTTTTTAACTCAAATATCTTTATATTTATTACATTTTAAGCTTAATTGCCCTGTTTTCTTTTTTTAATAATTTATTTTAACATTAGAGTAAGGAAATCAAATCAACCAGATTTAAAATGTAACAGCGAGCAATCTCAACTTTTGCAGATTGGAAAGACAATACTTGTGAGCATTCTTGCAGTCTGACCTAGGCTTTAAAATAACAACTTTTTCTGATTAATTTGAGTAAATTTGTTATAAAAACATTTCTAGAAATATTCCATCTTGTTGTTGATGCATATGGCATTCTTTTCTAATTTGTAATCATCATATGTTTTATAATCAGACATTAACATCAGATGAATGCTTCTCGGTGCCTTGTTTCAATGAATTTAAACTTGTTGGCTAATTTATTGCGGACTTCTGCCATAGATCGGAAAGCACCAAATAACAAATGAAGTGCAGTCCTTTATTGTGAAATGTAATACACGCTCCGACAGTGAGTGCACATAATGTATTTTGCTCCAGTGACTTACACTGATTACCTGCTTCCTGCATAAAGCCAAAGTTAGTTCATTTATTTGTACGCTTGTGGCTTCAAAATTGTGAAAGAAGTAAAGTTCAATGAGAGTTTCAGGCCATGACTTTTTAAAGATATTATTCAGATGTCGAATGATGAAATGGCACCGTAATTGTAATAAAATCGGCATGTTTGTCAGTAGAAATAAAAAAGTTATCATACTGCTTTAGTTAGCTTTATTTAAAAAAAAAAAAGTATAAAACAAAAAGACAAATTACACTCTCTTCATTATTGATTGTGTTTGGTGGTGGGTGGATTAAAACAGGCCAGAGTTTAAAAGCAAAACAAAACCAAAGTCATAACTCAATAAAATGCTGTAATGATTTGCATTTTACAGTAGTTTTCACTGGCTGGCTTTAAATCTAAGAAAATAGTTTAACTAAAAGGAAGATCATTCTTGTGTGTGAATCACAGAATTGCCTTCCAGTAAAACAATCTAAAGATGTTTTACTTGTAAATGTCAAAAAGTTATGCCAGCACATAAATGCAGGCAGTTGGCAGTGAAAGATAAAATCCACCCACCACTGTGCCATTAACTTGTTGTGACAATTGATCATTTGGTACTAATCTAATCCTTTTTCTAAAACAGGACCTAAGCGGCTCTATGTCACCGTTCTCACGTTTTTCCTGCTTTCTCTGAATAGGTCTTCCCGCCTTTGTCCGTGTCTCATAACGTGTTTCTGCATGTGTAATCGTAGCGATGACAGTTAATTCATATTAATCTCTTTTTTTTCCCCTTGCACCCCTTTCATTCTCTCTTCCAACGCTTAAAATAGAAGTGGAGCAAAAAGGTAAATAAAAGACACGATCCAAACCCTAGCTCCTTGTTTTGTGGCATCTGGTTGTAAACTACCTATTTTCCCATGGTGGCCCCTACAAACACATCGCAAACGTTATCTTCAGCATCCCCCCCCCCTAGCCAGTCTAGTGGAACAATGGAAGCCCTGATATTGGCCATAAAAAAAAGACAGCACATGAGCTGCCATAAGATGTAAATGGGCTGTATTGGCTGCAGTCCACAGGGGCTCTCTCTCCTCATTCTCCCTGGGTGCTTAAGCTACTCAGCAGATTCTCATATTGCCTGGCTTCCAAACCCTTTTCCATAGCATGCCATGGTTACAGTGTATCTTGGCCCTTTTTTCCAAGCTATTGCTTTCTACTGTCCCTTTTCTCTCAAGACCCCCCTCCTTTCTTTTCACGATTCTCCCCATTATTCTCACCTGACCACTTGCTGCTCTTTTCTCTGTTGATTCTTATGCCTCCTATGCCTCAGAGCACCAACCATAACACCTCAAGAGACCCTTACTGAAAGTTTTTTAAATGTTAATGGCTGTGACATTTGTACCACATCGTAATGACAAGCCACTCGGGTATATACCGTAGAATAGGTGGTGTAACCCAGACACGTCTAAGTACACACAAACATTTTGCAGACTGTGTTGACTCCTGCTCTCTCATAACCCGTCTGTTGCCAAGTGACTTTAGTTGGCTGCATTTTTTTTGTTTACAGGACCAATTGTTTCGTTAAGTTTTGTTTCTGTTCTATTTTGTGTTCTATTTGTGTTCTACTCCCAACAGTTAATGACTATGAGGCCCAGCTTCTTTTTGTTTCTGACTACTTTATATATTTAAACATTATGCTTAATAACTTTCCTATTCCTTTTTTTCTTTCTATGCACAAAACCAAAATCCTTATTCTGCTTGTGAATATTGGCTGTAGCTGTTAGTTGTGTTTTGGCCACTCTTTAATGTTTGTCTGTCCCCACTCTTCATGGACAACCTGTAAAACAAAATGAAGACATTAGAGATGATATGGATATTACATATATTTTTGTGTGGTTTTTATTTTTCACATGTTAACCTGTGTCCGTTTTTTTTATTCTACTCTTCTCCCATTACTAGTTTTTCTTTGTCCTGGGACTCTGAAAACTGTCGGTGATCCTTCCTTTCTATTTGAAGCGGAGCAACAAGCCGGCGCCTGGTGCAGAGACCCGCTGCAAGCTGGCGACAAAATCTACGTTATGCCTTGGACTCCTTATAGGACAGACACTCTCATTGAGTATTCCTCTTTTGATGACTTCCAAAATGCCCGGCTAACCATCACCTACAAGCTGCCTCACCGGGTGGATGGGACCGGATTTGTGGTCTACGATGGGGCCGTGTTTTTCAACAAGGAGCGTACCCGCAACATTGTGAAGTTTGACCTGCGGACTCGAATCAAAAGTGGTGAGGCGATCATCAATAATGCCAACTACCACGACACATCGCCCTACAAGTGGGGTGGCAAAACAGACATTGACCTGGCCGTAGATGAGAATGGGCTGTGGGTGATCTACGCCACCGAGCAGAACAACGGTATGATCGTAATCAGCCAGTTGAACCCCTACACGCTGCGATTTGAGGCTACCTGGGACACGACCTATGATAAGCGCTCAGCCTCCAATGCCTTCATGGTTTGTGGAGTACTGTACGTGGTCCGCTCCACCTATGAAGACAACGAAAGTGAAGTCAGCAAGAGCATGATCGATTACGTTTACAACACCAAACAGAACCGTGGGGAATACGTTGATATCCACTTTCCCAACCAGTACCAGTACATTGCAGCTGTGGATTACAATCCGCGAGATAACCAGCTCTATGTGTGGAATAATTTTTACATCCTGAGATACACTCTGGAGTTTGGCCCACCTGATCCAGCACATGGTAAGAACCTAGCCCCGCGACAATTTATTTTTCTGACAAAATTATTAAATTGCATTCCCTGAAATCGTGATTTTAGTTGCTGTCGAGGGCGCTTTGATATTCCTTTGGTATTTCCCATCTGTGTATGAGGTGTCAGAGCTGACAGGTTTTTAATTTAGAATCTTATATGTGCTAGATATGTTACGGAAGCTTTGGAGTGTAGGAAAGCATCTCAGGGGGTGAAGTGAGTCAGACTCTGTGGTAAACAACACCTCGCAGCCAGTTACCATATCATAAGGGATCAGTATCTTGGGGATTTGGGGAGGTTTACCATCCGGGCATTCCCTGAGTCTCTGGTGCTAAGGCTCAAGGGAACCCTGCTAGCATATCTCGTGTTTTAAAGAGAGTATGACAGGGAAAGAGATATATACTTTCACCTCTGGAAACATACATGCCCGGACAGGTGCAAAGTCTTGCCTGGGGCAAGGTTAGATCATTCCCCAAGTGCAGCTGAACTCCAAATCTCCATCGGCCATTAAAAAAAGTATTTCACTCTGTCGGCAGAGTGTGAGGATTCAAGGTTCGGTCTAAGAGAGAAAGAGATGGTAGACACAAGGGAGAAGGATCAATCATCCGGGGTCACATCAGCAGTGTATGTTTTTAATTTAGCTGTCAAGAACTGAGGGGAAGCTAGCCTAGGCCTCTGATAGTCCATACCCTGAGAATATAACAACAGTAATTATCCTAATCCCCTCTACACCCAGAGTCCTAAGTCCACGTAATGCTCAACGCAGTCAGTGATGAGCCGCAGAGGTCAAGCAACTTTTCCACAGATTATCCCAGAGCTCAATATTTATTAATGTGTTTGCTCGTCCACTTTTGTATTGATAAGACGTGGGCTATGGCTGCTAAATAGGGTTCAGCCAGTGGAGCAGCATCAATCCGGCCAAGACAGGCTTAACTGTGACAAGTAACTTACTGTAGTGCAGGTTGGAAAGCGAAATGAATATGCCGAGGGCGCATTGAGAGCTATACTGCAACAATCATCGGGAACAAGATAAAAACATTTTATTTTATTTTCCCAACTCTGAATAACATATTTGAAGTTTCTCCACTGCCAATAAGACAGATAGTAGCCAGATTTTTTAATTAAATATTTGCATATCACAAGCACATTTAGAGCAATTGTGGAATATGCTTCAGCCAAAAGGTGTTTGCTTATTTTAGTCATGCCCAAAACATAATGTCACACAGAGCAAATTCAAATGAGCTGTTTCCAAGCAGCACCTTGCAGACAGCTGCTGTAAAAGTGGTCATGATATCACCTTTTCTGCTATCTAGTACAAATAAATTGGAGCATGTCTTTACATGCCATCATGTGTTTATATAATAAACGCTAAACTGATTATAAGGCAGTCAAGCTACAGCCTCCGCAACATCCTTTATTTTCAGTTTGGCTGTTATGGATTCTTGGAATAAGCAGCGTACAGACAGGCTGCATGCTCAATTGATTTATTCATTTGCTGAATGAACACTGATTAGCGATAGAGAAATCAGAGGCTTTAACAGGATTCGCCCTGAAATAAGAGTCAAATGTAGTTATTGAGTGTGTTTGTGTATTAGGGCTATGTATCATATTTGAATCGCAATTACGATTTTGGCTTGCAACAATTATGAAAACAACATAATCGAAATAAAACGATTATTTTTTTATTTTTTATTTTTTATTTATTTCTTATTGGTTTTTCAGTTGAATTATACTTAAAGTTCAGGGTAATCAACTGTTAAAAACATACTGTTCACATTTTTTTTTCAATAAATGGATGTTTTCAAAGTAAATCGTTTTTAATAATCGTGATATCAATTATTGACTCAAATAATCGAGATTATGATTTTTGCCGTAATCGAGCAGCCCTAGTGTGTTATGTGTGTGCTTATTCAGACAGTCAAGCTCCCAAGCACCCTATGGATTCCCTTCCTGTAGATACTGTTTGGACACATACACTGACTGACATACTGCATTTGCTTCTTGGAGCTTCTGTACTCACACATCTTTATTTTAACCTCAACAAGGACTCTGTTCTCTCTTCTTGACAAATGACACGTGAGCCTGCCCGGCGCTTCTGACTAATGTATGTTGAGTTTCAGTCGATGAGCGCAAGGGAGAATGGTCCATGATGATCATCAAGATGTCAATAAACTTGTCCTCCCACATGGCAGATGTTGACACATAAATGATGGCACTTTTTCTCTGGCTGTCACTGGATGCCCTCTCTGTGATATCTTGATGTTCGTTTCAGAGCCTGCTTCACTAGACACTGAAACAAGCTATCAGAATGCTTTTGTAATTTACAAAGTTGAAGGCACATGTTTTGAACAGCAGTAGACTAAAAAAAGAAAAGAAAAATGAAAAGAACATTTCAATTTTGCTCAAGTCATCGCAAGCACATGTGAAAGCTTAACACATGCAGGAATTTGTGTTTGTACAACAGAGCACGGCTAATTATTCATGTAGATGCTAGAGCTGTGTTAATTGTTTGACTTTTTTCAAAAGAAAACAAAAGGATCTGCATGTTTTTCATTTAACACAGTTTTTCAAAGCTTGTACGCTGTCCACCGCAATCATACTCCCTTTTTTGACAAAAGTGCACAAACAACTCTTGTCACACGATTCGCTCCGTCATGGAACGCAATCACATCAAAGTGATGTTTAGACCCTGTGTGGCAGACAGCTGGGTTCTTGTCAAGTCCAATAACATTGCTCATGTCGGGGCAAGATCATCTCTTGTAGGATTATGGGGCAGTGGATGGGGTCACATCCAACATGCGGCTCCACTGGACGTGGACATTAAATGGGTCAGTAAGTCCCACTCTTGGCTTTGACCAGCAGAGCCATAATCCACTCATTTAACCATGACTCCATGCCTGTTTTTCTTTTTGCATTCAAGACCTCATTAAGTACATATTCCTTTGTCGCATCTTGTAAGTTAGATGATTAAATTGATTTAAATTAGGTATTCCCAGAGAAAACTCATTATGCCTCATTTCTATGGACCTTTTATTTATGCCAAGCTCTGATATTTGGCCTCAAACCACTGAGTAAGCATCTCGAAATCTGTTTCTTAGCAGAAGTATGCACAAACAGACTTTATTCACTGCCTCAATGGGGCACAGGTGAGACTCACAAACCTTTTTATTTATCCCCAGTTGCAAAATTAGATCCTGCATCGCTTCCATATAAAAGCCCCCGGTGCTGCAGTTTACACCCACACAAATCAAGGCCTGCTGTTTAATTGTTGAAATGTCAATACATTTGCATACAATTTCAATCATTGCTGCCCCCTCAAATTATACATTTGCAAGTGGGGATCATAAGGAAGGGAATGACCCAATTTGTTTGAAATTATAAGGTAGGCCTCACTGACACAACTTGCCAATTAGCCAACAAAACGCTGCATGTGGTCAAAACAATGTAGTTTGTGTGTCATGAAAGTGCTTTGCAATGCAAAAATGCTCAGCTGTTACAGATGCTTGTGAGTCATGTGCATTAGCAGTCACCCCAGAGAGCCTACCTCTTATAGTCTGATGAATATACGCCTCACTATAAAGCTCCCCTATGATTCATTCCTGTCTTCTGCAGTGCTTACATAGAGGTCAACTCGTGCATGGCAACATTTAGAGAGACAGCAGAGAAAGTGGGGAGAGAAAGAGAAGGATGGATACTTTAAACGTCAGCATCGAGCTTTCACAGCCAACTGAGGTGCTCAGGTAAAATGGCAGAGACGTCTTGTTCCTACATGCTCAGCAGTGGCGCAGGGATCGGGATGTGTTAAAAACGGCCAATTTGTTTGTTTGCCTTGACAACAACCCCCCTCCCTCTCCCCAGCCCCCTGTCAGCTGCCCAAGTGGACACAGCGATTTGATCGGAGACTGTGTTGACGTGGAAAATCACCCTTTTTGTTTTCCTGTCCTCCTGTCATATTCTCGTTGTTTCTTTTTCTGCTGCTGCCATTTTAGCGTATCTCTTTTTTCTATTTCTCTATTGGATCAATCTGTTTCTTTCTGTATCTCTTTGCCAGCCCCATTACTTTTTGGTTCATTTTACTCTTGCTGCCAGTAGTCTCTCACTGTTTTTGTAGTACCCTTCATCCATGAGGATCCTTGAACTGTGCCTTAAATCCAGATATTTGCATTTGTGTGCGTGCATGTCTACACATATAGGCCTCTGTTTGGCTTCTCTCCTGAAAACAGGCTAAAGACATCATCATTCCCAAAGAGAGCAGTGCACACTAAATGACAGGATTTGAGTAAATCCTCATCCGTGCCTTCTGGTAAACTGTACACACATAACAGCAGGACAAAGACGGCCATCGCGCACATGAAGATCAGGGATCACAGACTACCCAGTTTTGTCAGAAATATTTGTTCACCAGAGGAACAGTTTGTATCAGGTTTTAGATGTAACCATAATTATTATTTGAACAAAATGTTTTACGAAGCTTACTGTATTTTAGCTGTGCTTATATACATGTTGGATTGATCCACATTTAGCTGCTGATGTAAACCAGCTTTTTGATTTAGGCTGTTGTTAAAAGCAACTGATCTGTGGTTCTTTCGCACGTTTATTCCTGTTGACTTAAACTCCTGTTGGCTGTTGTCTCGATCACACTAGTGTTGACCGACAAAACAATCCCTGCCAGACCAAATCAAACACCTCGCTGTACACAACAATCTGCAGAAAACAGCTTTGTAAAAATCCCCAAAAGGCACATATAGCCTAAAATCTGTGCGTTGTCCATGTTATGGTTTAATTCCACTTGTCCCTTATGCTCTTATAGCACTTAAAGGTGTCCCTAGATCCCCAAATTGTGTCCGTCTTAGTGATAATGTTTTGAACTCGGTAAGCTTGGAATCATTTCTTCTGAGCTGTTAGTGCACTACTGGGAGTGTTGCTTTATTTAAAGGCCTCCTTCTTTACTGCTGGACTACAGGATCTCCCTATATACCTTGCTTCCATTTGT